AGACAGTAAACATGAGTGTTTGATATGAATTTCAGTTTGATATCTCCACGCATTCCTGGGAAAAACGGTCTTAACAGGCGGACGGACGGACAACAAAGTGACCCTATAAGGGTTCCGTTTTTTCCTTTTGAGGTACGGAACCCTAAAAATCCTAAAATCAAATAAATTTTTTAAAAGTGGTCAGGATAATGAACAGTCTAGTGAAACAAAACCAGGGGTATCAAATGTTTACCTTCGTAATTTTGTTCTGGACCAACGAGTAGCACAGCACACTACAGCACTACTAGAGCTCACGCAACATAGCGGGAACACTGTAGAACATTTCACAAGGAGTGTGCACGACACGAAGTATTTTGACGCGCCAGTGGAATCATCGTTTAGCCCCGGATAGACGTTATATTCTTATTCTTAATAAAACTATGAGAAATACATACACTATATATTTTTTTCATATATTTACAACTTAAATACTATAGCTTAAACCGCATAATATATTTATTTTCCGTTAATAAGTAGGTGTTTTGCTGGTAGTTTTTCCACAAATTTGTGAAGCGGACGCGCCAGGGGGATGTCAAATATTAGTAGTCCTTTAGTATATTTTTTTACTATTTCTACCTAAATAAGACACAATTATAATGCCTCAGTTAGATCATACATTAAAGTAGAATAAAAAATATTTTGGATTCTTGTTTTAATATTACGGGTACCTTTTTCCACCGGACAGCGAAAATTGAGCCTCTCAAGATTCACCTGGGTACGTATATTTATGCGAAATTCTATCTTATCATTTTCAATCATAATTTTGCAATGGTTATTAGGTTTTTTCTAAAACTTGTCAAATACCCTATTTCTCAAACGAAAAATAATATAACTTTGTTTAAAATTGTGTAAAATCTGTTAACTGTATAACATAAGCGGTTTGGAATAGATTCGAATCAACTAGAGATATTCCTGGTTCACTTGCAGCCACTTTGCTAAATATCAATTAAGCTTAAACACTAGTTTCAGCTCATACAATGAAGTCATCTTTCTATGAGTGAGTTCATACTCATAAAAAGATTTGAAATTGTGGTTTTCATGTCATTCTATGAGTTAAATTTAGTTTCAGATGAATTGAGATTTAGCAAAATTGCTACAAGTGGACCTCAGAATTACTAAAGTGACAGTTATGTAATCTGTCCATTAAGATATAAATTCGCATGAGAATAATTTTAACAATAGGTTTCTACGTTCGTAGATAGATGCACAAAGTTTATGCAAAATAGGTTATTAGAAAATAATGGAAAATAAGCACTATGGTGGGTCAGTAATCAAATTGACTGATGGTACCTAAGAACAACCTTCTTTTTGTGTGTGCGAGCTTCTGAGAAAAGGATGCTGTCTCGGAATGAAACAATGCCTTGGTTGGATTATTTATTACAGAATTTCAATTTGATATACGATTAAAATCTTTGAAAAAAAAACATAGAAAAAGATCATAATTTACGTCCCTTCCTTCAAAATGATAGTTATTAGGATTCCGCACTCAAAGAGTGACAAATGAAACCCCATTTATCTGCCACTAGTGGCCCGCCCTCGCTTCGCTTCGGGGTAGAATTGATCAAAATCCTTTCTTAGCGGATGCCGACGTCATAGCATCTACCTGCATGCCAAATTTCAGCCCGATCCGTCCAGTGGTTTGGGCTGTGCGTTGATAGATCACTATGTCAGTCAGTCACCTTTGAGTTTTATATATATAGATTGTTTTCGGACTCGCGCACAAAAGGTTCCATATTATTATCTATACTTACAGCATTAGCGATGGCTGGTTCATGCGTCATGCTCGTGAACGGGTGCTGCCAGCGGAGATGAGTCTGCTCTTGCTTCATTGTGTACTATTAATCGTTGTACTAAACTTTAATCGTTCATTTTTTTTGCTAAACAGTAGGATTCGGCATTCCTAAACTTTGTTAACCCAGTTTTTTATATATTTTTTATTTTATAGTCATAATTTTTATATTATTTGCATTTATAATGGAAAGTGACTTTATGAGTTACCTCATATTGAGGTAATTTTTAATTTAAATACTCTGTATATAATACAGGGAGAAAAAAACAGCCCTTGCTGAGTTTCTTGCCGGTTCTTCTCAGTATAAGGTCTCCAGCCGTAGATTTACGCGAACCGATGGCGTAGCTTTTCGACATTGCTTGTGAATGTCGAACTAGAAAACAAAACAACAGCCTAGACTGAATAAACGATAATGAATTTTGAATTTGAGATACTATATTATAATAACGAGAAAATATACAAAGGCAAAAAAAATCACGTCTGTTGTAGGCTTCCTTAAATATTATTATTGTAATTAGATCACTATAAACTTTTTATAGGGTTTTCTGTAATCTGCAAGCAAAAAGCTATATATCCCATAATATGTCAATAATGCTATCCGTTTCATCTTCTGCCTCCGCAAATTTGACCATATTTCCTATCTTATATCTCAACTAAAATGGCTTCCTATTCGCCAGCGCAGGCAGTTAAGATTACTCTGCACTCTTTTTTCCATAATTTCCTATCCGTATTCTCCAGAGTATTTGAAATGCAAGTTCCAGTATCTCTGTGATAGTCACGAACGTCCTCTCCGCTCTTGTGATTCATTAGCTCTCTTTATCCCTCTTTCTCATTCAGGCTATGTGTCCAACTCCTTCACTCTTCAAGCCACACGGCTGTGGAATGACCTACCCGACTCCATCAGAAGATCTCCAAATAAATTTATATTTAAAAGGAATGTTCGCACTCATCTGCTCCAAAATTTAAGATAAAGAGTCACTTTATTAATCATCATCATGTGTATAGTTATGTGTATATATATATTTAAATATAATTGTGGTATGTATGTATGTATGTGTATTCCTTTTGTAGTATGTATTTATATATGTATCTATGTTAATTCGTATATATTTTTAATATTATTTATTATTTCAATATTTATGTGTATATTTAGCTTTATACCGCCGTTCGCGTTTTTCTTTTTTTCCCAAAGGTTGACTGGGAGAGAATGCTATTAGCATTAAGTCCGCCTTTTGTACCATTCTATTGTATTTTGGTCAATAAAGTTTAAAATAAATAAATAAATAAATATTTTTGGAATCTTTAGACTCGGTAGTTTCGTAGAAAAGATGGGGATGACAAGTCAATTTTGATCTATTTCTTAAAAATTAGGTAAACGAGTGATCCTCACAGGATCATCGTCTTTGGCGATTGAGGTATCCAACTTTTTTTGTTGTCTGGGAATGCCTTACGCATTATTCAACCATCGGGGAAGCGAGAAGAAGGTATGTGGGACACCTCCCTGCTCATTTCAGCCAGGTCTTGTGCCAGGTGAAATCAACAGGGCGCTTTAAAAACCAGACAATACTCCTGCTCCGGTCACCCGACACGCATTGTGAGAACCGAGGGCCAATGCGTGCCGTGAGTGCTGGATAAAAAAAAACGACGGTTTGCACTCCGGGAGTGCCGGCAGAAGTGAAAACTTGAATATTAACGTTGTGCATTTATGATATTTTGGAATGGTTATAGGGAATAATTTTGCACGAATTGCTTTAAATATCAGTAAAAAAGTACTATCATTTATGTGGTAGAATACAATATTTATTTTTTGCGCTATCGTACACAAACATGACAATTTATATTACATTAAAATAGTTTATTTCTCAGAAAAATCAACTTACATGAATCACGTTTAAGCGCACTTAGCGACATCTATTGTAAAGAATTAAACTCACATGAATCACATTTAAGCGCACCTAGCGACATCTATTGTAAAAAAAATGCATTTTCTTCGCAATAAAGCTGCCACGTGGACGTCCTAGATAGAGACTTATTATTATAATACGATAAAATAAAATATTACTATGTTTCGTTCAATTTAAGGAAAGGCAAAACAACCTTTCCAATTTTATTGTGTGTCAGATGCGATCAGTCCACGTGTTTAACCTGACGCGAGTTTATCATTTTTTACCCATACAAAAAGGTGTACACCGCCGCTTAAGAAGTTTTCACTTCAAAAAAACAAGTAAAACAGAATTACAACGAAAATTTTCATTCTGACGAATGAGGTTTCAAATAGTACAAAATTCTGACGGCTTCTACCGCCCATTAAAGCTAGTTTTTTTAGACAAAACATTAATTTTAAAATTAATAACTTTACCTACATTATTAATGGCCGAAAATGCAACTCAACATGCAATTTAAAAAAGAAAATCGTATTCTAAGAAAAACCAGGAGATTCATGTAGAAAAACAGTAGAACAGGAAAAAATTCAGAAAAACAGGAGATCTCCTGTAAAATCTGGAGACCTGGCAACACTGTTAACGTGTTAACTTACGCAGCATCTAAGTCTCTTCCGGTTTCGGTTCTAGCTCTTACAGACAGGCAGACTGAATTATAATCTAATTTACTATAATAAATATGTACCCGTAGTCCGTGAGGACTATAGACTTAGGTTCAAAGATAATTTATTTCCCATAAAGACATACAGTCCACTTAAAATGAGAATATAGAAATAACATGCAGTTGTGTATTACTTATTGCTCCTTTTGGAACATCGGATATTTCAGTTACAAAATTGATACTAATACTTAAGTTCAACACCCTTAAAAAGTAATCTTTCTTGTTTTATGACTTAATTGTTCAAAGCCCAGTGTTAACAATAGTAAGTTATTTGATCTTATGAGCATTCACAATGTTATTCTTATGTAAATAACAAAACAATAATATTATTAAAAAATATAAATAAAACTAAATCGACTCGATTATTCCTTAGGCGGAAGTGAAATATAAAACTTTCAGACTTCAAGTGAAACATTAAGTTTCAATGAGATTACTAAGCGCCTATTTAAAAACGATTTGTCTGCAGTCCACTGCCCCAATAAAGTTTTTTGTGGTTTTAGCGGAGGCATACGGCACGCGTCACTTGCTGACCACTATGTGACCCGTCCCGCCATAGTAAGCGTTCAGTCAAACATGGTGCGTGCAATTCACAACACTCGTCTGTAACATACGGTGGTGATCGACCAATTCCCGCCATTTCTCTGTGATACAAATATTTTAATAGTTTTAATTTTTTTTTTATTTTAAATTAGAACTTTTTTGTGTTGTGTTTATATTTTTTTTTAATTTTTATTTATTATTATCAAAATGTTGAAGTATACAGTGAAAAAGTATTGTGCGGAGGGCAGTAAAGTTAACCAAATTATAATATCGATATTGAGTAAGTATTTATTTTTATAAATATATTCTTATAGTGAATTTTTTTAATTGTTACTTTTTTTTGTACCTGACGATGTGAATTTTTAGCTTTCTTTAGGTATACCACTAATGGTAGGGGTACTTATGATGGATTAAAAAATATCATGAATTTTTATTTTTAATTTTGTTGTTCATAAATGATTCAGTTTATTACATAAAAATTAATTCGATTCGACGACACGTGCAATGGCAGTGCAACTGCAAAGCTTTACTCCAAAGTTCCTTGGTTTGAAACCCGGCAGGGGCAAATATTTATGCGAGGAGCACAATTTGTTTTCAAAGTTAAATAAACAGGGTTACAGACAAAGTCGACCTAGATATTAAAGGATGTTATTGGACATTGTTGATAGATTTACTGTCTGACCCTATGACCTACTGTCGAAAAGTTAACCGTTATAAAAAAATGGCTATTATATTTTTTTTTCTAAAAGTTCTATTTATTTATCTAATTTTACGTTTGTTTTTCATCTCTTCGATAAGACTTTTTACTGGTTTTATATAGAAGGCATGTCAGTCTATCAAAATAAAAAAATAAATTGTTTTCTAGTTAAATTGACAGCTATTTAACTGCTTGAATGTTGTTTTTCACTTTGTATTCGCAACTTTCCAATAGGTTTATTTAAAAAAAAATGCATGGAAGTTACCTTGCAAGTTACAATAATAACTTAAACATATTTTTAGCTATCCAAAATGTCATAAAATTCTTAACAGAGTAGACAAATCAACACTGAAATGAAGAAGAAAGTTGTTTTCGATAATAAATAGTAAATTATTATAGTAGCCCTGATTACTAAATCTATTTGATTTGTAAAAACCTTGAAAATTTTATTATTAATTTCATCATCTCAGGCATTTTTGGCAAAAAATTTGTTCGTTTATATTTTCTACAATTGGATAAACTTTGTATGTGAATTCGACAAGGGTATGAATGATTGTTTCTAAATCATTAGTTTTTAATTTTTTTATATAAATAGATAGGTCCACCAAATGACTCCACCCCACCTGATGTTAAGTGACGGTGAAGTCCAGACGCGAAGATAGCTGGTACATCAGTTCTACCTGCCACACCAGCCATCCTCACCCTGCCGGCCTGCATGTTGCTTCTTCATATATGTGACCACCCTGTCTCGTTAGTCGTGATAATTGATCTGAAAAGATAAATTCTCAATCTATCAACTCTTATATTTCACCCTAGGTGTTGAATCTTGAAAAACCCTGAAACACCTGTTTGATTGGTTTGAATTTTAGTGTTTTTATTTAATTTTTAGTTAATCGACTCAAAAGTAAAAAAAAAGAGATAAGTATCTGAAGCACGGATGAATATGAGGTAAAACCTTTTTCTTAAATAATAACCTAACATTAGGCGGTGCATAAGGCAAAGGGTAATGAAGTAGCGCACGCATCACTTATATATATATGACTAGCGGCCCGCCTTCGCTTCGCTTCGGTGTAGAGCTGAAGTGTAGACTACAGTTTTTGTTCACAGGCTTGTATTATACACAATGACATTTATCTATGATTCTTCCTATACATGCTTGCAAAGTCTCAGCCCGATCGGTTTAAAATTGACAAAGTTTCATACAAACTTTCATTCCCTATTTTATCCCCTTGGGGGTGGAATTGATCAAAATCCTTTCTTAGCGGATGTCTACGTCATAACATCTATCTGTATGCTAAATTTCAGCCCGATCCGTCCAGTGGTTTGGGCTGTGCGTTGATAGATCACTATGTCAGTCAGTCACCTTTGAGTTTAATATATATATGTTGTCGCGTGTGACGCTCGTGACGCATTCCCGTTTCATCTTTTCCATTGGATTTTCCATTGACACCATGTCCGTAAAGAAGTTGCACTTAAAAAAGAATACAAACTTTCAACCCCTATATAACGCTTAGGATGAAATTTACGAAAATTCTTTCTTGTTACTTATTAAGTTAATAAAAGGTGCCTCTTGTCCGAATTAAATTCCAGGTTTCGTCTCTACGTTGATACGGTCAGACAAATTATCTCTTTATCAGTATATATTCTTGAAACGTTGTCATCAAAAACATATTCTTTATATTATTCAAGTTTTTTGGTCACAAAATCCAAAATGATAACTTAGGTATCAAATTGTAAATAACTTTATAATAAAATAACATTATAAGCCAATGTGAGGAGCTCGATGGCCCAAGTGGTTAGCGCGTTCGGCTACGATCGTTGAACTTAAGCAACTTTCGCAGTGGTCGGTCATTGGATGGGTGACCAAAAATTACTATCTCGAGCTCCTCCGTGCTTCGGAAGGCACGTTAAGCCGTTGGTCCCGGCTGCATCTGCAGTCGTTAGCACTCACCAATCCGCACTGGGCCCGCGTGGTGGGTCATGGCCCAATCTCCCTATTCCATCCATAGGGAAGGCCTGTGCCCTAGCAGTGGGGACATTAATAGGCTGATGATGATGATGATAAGCCATAATTTATATATAAAAAATGTAAAGGTTTGTTTTCCTTTGCGCAACATTGCAATTCGAGGTTCGAGGGTATCATGAATGAACCAGCAATAATTCGATATTGAACACGAAAAAATAATAAAGTAGTTTTATTCATTTTATATCCCTACTTCCACACATTTTTTTTCAAACATTTTCACAAAAAAATGTTTGAAAAAATACAAACACGCTGTATACATTTGGCCTTCATTCATGATTGTTTACTCAATTTCGAATTTATTTAGTTTTATAAAAAAAGACACTATTGTTTTTATTCCTCGAGTAGTAAGAAGAGTAAGAATGAAAGTATACTAAAAATGTGAAACAGTCTTTTGCGCACAAAATCTTGCGAAAAATGTTAAAAGCATATGAAAATTTCATCCTATGGAAAATGTAATAAGTAAAGGTGAAATCTTTTTCAGAAAATGTGTTCTGGCTTATTTCCAAGATTATCTTTTTGTTCTTGTATGTAAATAAAGCTGTGGAGGAGCTCGATGGCGCAAGTGGTTATCGCGTTCGGCCACGATCGTTGAAGTTAAGTAACTCTCGCAGTGGTCGGTCATTGGATGGGTGACCAAAAATTTACTATCTCATCGTAGTCGTTAGCACCCGCTAATCCGCACTGGGCCCGCGTGGTGGGTCATGGCCCAATCTCCCTATTCCATCCATAGGAAAGGCCTGTGCCCCAGCAGTGGTGCCATTAATAGGTTGATGATGATGTAAATAAGTAAACGTACTTTTATTACGTTAGCAACACTGTTCAAGCTCGAGTGATGTGCTTTGAATCCTCCGCTCCGATCTGCATAGGTCATCATTCTGTAAGATCCAATCAGTCTTACGAATTCATTTATTCGGATTTCTGACAAATGCCAAATATCTCGCTGCACATGGGCCACACGCCACAGCCACAAACGCCGCCACGAGAAGCTAGAAGCGGCTACTAAAGTGGCTGCTGAAGCGCGCGACAGCGGCCGACTAAGGTAAGGGAGAGAGGGATGGGGAATCGCGCGAGTGACGTGCGGCGGCGTTTTGTATCAGCTCATTAAGTGGCCGGTGCGGGCCACAAGAAGCGAGCAACGACGATTTGTAGCGTGTGGCGGCCACTGGCGTACCGTGTGTGGCGAGTCCATCAAGAAATATGTCGGTGGCGGCGTTTTGTGGTTGTGGTCAGTGGCCCGTGTGCGGCGACACTTATACTGGCTGCTTCTACAGACATAGCCACATAATGACATTTTGCCGTGTAATGGCGTAACGCATATCAAACTAATGTCTAAAATGGCAGCTACCGAAATCGGAAGTGCCTTTAAATTAGTTCTTTCCTCCCTGAGTAAACAATCTGCTATTAAGCACTCGTCATGACACAATGAAAATACCGAAAATAATAATTAGCAGGACTTCCTTAAAAACTGAGTTTAATTAATTTAAATTTAATGATAGGTTGATACCTAAGTGATAACAAATTAATTCTCAATTACTTCTTAACGTGTGTCACGTTATTTCATTCAATAACAGATCATAAAACTAGTTTATACTAATTAATTTTACATTTTCATAGATACCACCAGAATTGACATAATAAATACTATTAATTTATTAATTTACTAACATGAAGTGAAACGGCCATGTAACGCTTCGGATGAAAATTTTGTATTAAGATAAGCTTTTGTTATGTTCGTGTATGTATTGAAGTAACTAATAACTATTGTTAGGGAAATATAAGCTCACAAAAATAACATCGCAGTCGTAGAATAATATTCTCAAATCTTTGTAAAATTCAGTCATCATACGTAGCCAGATAAGTACATGGACTTATACCTACGGGAAAATGTATCAAGTTGTTTTTAACAAAGTTATTTTACAGATAAGTACATACAACTAAATTATAACTCAACAGCTAGATTTTTGCCATGCCCTGGCTGAAAAGCTGGGGTTAGCCCAGCGCTGGGTTTATGTTGTGCCTGATGGTGAGCAGCCGCCATAAGTAACCCATACAAAAATATCACTCGCTCAGTGAGTGCCACACACGTAACCTAACCTTTTTTTTTTTCGATGACGGGGAGAAAAAATGTATTATATCCACGACAATGACCAACGCCACGTTGGTTTGCTGTTAACAAACCCTCGCAACACAGGTAATTGCGTGGTGCATTCGGCAAGCGGCGAGCAGCCCGAGGGACTCTAGGCGGTGCGGGTATACTTTGATGTGCTCTCACGCAAGCGTGGTATACGTCAAACCACCCCGCCTCCGACCGGCAGCCCGGTCCGCACCCGCTTTAGGCGATCCTGGGCTTCTCCGTTCACTGCGTCACCTGACTAGTCTCACGGACCGCAGTCCAAGCGGCTAGCCAGCTGACCAGCTCCCGTACCTACCAGGTAAATCAACTCCCCGATCTACCCCTCACCCTTCAGGCATAACTGCGGGGTCCAGTTATGAGTCGCCTCTTATTACGCCTGGAGATGGCTCCACGGAATCGGTGGGTCAGCAACTAAGGTTTCCA